AGAAAGTTGATTTCCACTGGGTGGCTATAGATTGGCTTTTGGAAAGAGGTTTTTGGAGGCTGATATTAGAACTAAAAAGTAGTTCTCCCCAAGTACCAATGAGGAATGAAAAAGTCAACATATGACCAGCAGCCCATGCGACAGCTTTAAGAAGTGGGTAGGAAGAGAGATCTATAAGCCAATCTGAACAATTCAGACAACAGCTTCCCTCTATTCCTGACAAGTCTCCAATGACCCCTGAGGCATGGTGAATGACTGATGAAGTCTGACACCTGCCATGTATTGATGAGCAGAGGAATTACATTGCTGACATTTGAAGTAGACATCACTATCCAAAAAGCAATGCAGGCTTCAGATGGCAGAAGGATCGCTTAATAACTAGAAATCATGGCAAAAGAAATAGGAAGGATTCTGACTTGGTGCAGTGCCCGTGAGCTAGTAAAACCCAGGCCTTATCCCAGCCCCAGCATCCAAGATCATCAGCCGGTACATTTGATGCCTTGTGACGCAGTATTCCATGCCTAGAGTTGATCCCCCTGGGCTGTGTGCCTGCTTCCAGGCATGCTCATGAGCCACTCTTCAGACACAAAGTGGTTATTAGCAGCAACAGCAAGATCTGATGAATTATAGAATGAGTTAGAGCCCAAAGGTTAGAAGCGGAGCCTCAGTCTTGACTTTGAGAGTCTCATCTTGATATCTGATTTATCGCGCCAATGTTGGTCTGAATATCCGCTCATAAGGTGCCTTCCCCTAACCCAAGTGTCTCACTTCTTGATTCTAGTTTCTGCACAGTTCCCCTTCTTGGTCTGCCAAGAAGTTCTGCCCTTCTAATTTGAGGGCCATAGACTTCAATAAGAACAAACAAATCTGTCTTGAAAGGTGTACAGCTAGAGTACTCCTTAGAAGGGAAGATGGCTAGAATTTTGGACATGTTCTTGGGTGAAGCAAGTCCTTGGAAAAGGACATCATGCTTGGTAAAGTAGAGGGACAGTGAAGAGAAGGAAGATCCTCAAGAAGATGGATTGACACAGTGGCTGCAGCAATGCACTCAAACATAAACACAAACATGAGGATGGCGCATCACCAGGTCCGGTTGCATTCTGTTATACAGAGGGTCACTTAGAGCCGCCGCAGACTTGACAGGGCCTAACATCAATAACAGCCCTGATCTCTAACTGAACTCTACCCCAGCATCTCCAGGGCTGGAAGTAAGGGCTGTCCTCCCACTTCATACGTTGTTCATTGTTATCCATTTGGTTCCCAGCTCCTGATGACTGTATGAATGAATGAAACATTTGCCTGGTCCTGTGCCCTGTTCATCCTTGTTGGTATGTCTAAGTCCATTATTGCAGATACTGTGTATATTGAGTGTCTTCCAACCTAGGGGTTAATTTGCTGACACTGTAACTAACAACAGTTAAACCATAGGGTTTCCATTGACTTCTTTTTGGAAGGAGATCATCAGCTCTTCCTCGTTAGCGTGTCTCAGTCTGGAAGCACCACTGCAGCCTATCCAGTGGGGGCATCCTTTCCAGCATGAGAGCAACAGGCAAGCAATCATGACAGATGGATGGTGGACCTTATATGTAGCACCAAACACATGTGATCAGATACCACCTGCTCATGACTGCCTGACTCTTGAGTGGTTCACCCACCCCTCCATTGCTAGCACTGTGCCTTGATTAGATTCTAAGAAGTCAAAAGGGGCCCAAATCTCCAGACCTTCCTTGTCTTTTGGACACTGTGCTTTGAATCTTCACCATGACTGACCTTCCTGGTGTGCTGTATTCCTTCAACAACCTGTCTCACCCAGCTCAGCTCCTTTGCTTTCCCATCGTGCTCAGGGCAGCAGACTTTTCTGCCTAACTCACCCCTGTGACTAATCAAAAACATGACTAAAAGTGTATTTAATAAAAGAAATAAAGTATCCATTTATAGACTTTAAAGCAGCCTTCTCTGCTGTGAGTTACTCAGCCTAATTTGGACCAAGGGTGAGAATTCAACAAGAGATGGGAAATAACATAACCATTATTATATGATACAACAACATTCTGTGATTCTCTGAAAGGCTCAGCAGGAGGATCCTCCCAAGTATAGCTAAAAATCAGATGATACTTCTCAGCTTCTTTCCTGCTGAGACCCTCATTGTTCAACAAGGCCTGCCAGGTGATTAAATCAGGATCAGTGGCTGCCAGCCTGGCTGTACAGGAGAACCACCTGGAGAGCTATTAGCACATGTATGCCCAGACCACTTAGGGATGAGGACCATGGGCTGAACAGTGTCTAAACACTCCAGGTGGTTCAAGTGTAGTTACATTTGAGAGCTCTTTCTATTTGGAACAGATAACAACCTCTGGAACTGGCATCCTGACCCTCAAATCCTGATACCTGTGGCCAAGGTCTCTACGTAGGGCACTATAACTTGAAGGGGAGGAGATGAAACAAGCCTCTTCCAAATAGGTGCTCTCAAGAGAAGAAATCAATTGAATGTCCGTAACTGAAAAGAGAAGTAGGTGAGAGCAAAGTCTTTGGTAGCATGGTCTGGAGCTCTGAAGAGAAGGCTTAGAGGAAAGAATTAGTTTCTTGTGCACAGCACCTTACAGCCACCAAAGAAGACAGTCAATGCCCTTTAGTCTATCGAGAAGCAGCCAAGTATAGGGAAAATCTTCCCAATGGGAGTTCTGTCCAGGGAAGCCTATAACAATAGCAGCACCATGCCATGAAAAAGTAGTACTTGGCTTAAATATAACACACATATTCAAAAGAGTGCCTAAAATTTATGATTTAGGCCCTAAATCATACATGTGCAAGACAATTATGTTTCACAAAGTGATTGGATCTGTATAACCAGCATGTAGTCAAGAAAAAAAACATTGGCCAAGTCTCTTTTGATATGTCCTTCTAGGGCATTTACTTTGTACTGCTGGGAGCTGGAAAGGGGTGAAGGCACACAGATACCAAGGCTGATGATGGCAGTTCAGAAAGCATTTGTGATATAAGGGAAAGGCAACATATCAACAGCTATCATTTCCTTAACAACACAATTATACAGCAAGCTCATTTCAGACTGACAAATAGGAAAATTAAGAAAAAAGATACCTTACTTTGATTTTATGGTTTTTCTTGCCCAAGGTGCCAAATATTTACATTAAAGAAATTTCTGTAAAATCTCTATAAATTGGTGCATCCACTATAGAAAACTATATGTTACTTCTTTAAAAATTTGAACCAATTACAAGAACCTAAGTATTGCCTCCTCCCTGGGGGATGTACAGCAGAGAAGAGGGCGGCGGGAAACATTGGACAGAGTAACTTATGACAAAACTATAATTTATGAACTATGAAGGGTTCATGAGGGAGGGGGGAGTGGGAAGGGAAGGGGAGAATGAGCAACTGATATTAGGGCTAGAGTGGGAGGCAAATATTTTGAGAATGATGAGGTCAAAAAATGTGCATATATGCTTGACACACTGGATGGATGTATGGATTGTGATGAGAATTGTATGAGCCCCCAATAAAAAAATTTTTTTTTAATTTGGAAATAGAAATATCACGTGATGAAGGAATCAGGAATCTCACTACTAGGAATATATCCTAGAGAAATAAGAGTGGTGGCACAAATTGATATGTGTTCACTCCTTGTGTTAGGTGGAAATTTCAGAGAAACAAAATCGGTGACACATATGTAAAATAGAGAAATTCAGATCAAGAATTTGTAGCCAAAGCCTACAAAGCCAAAGCCCTCTTCAGAACCATATAGCTTCCAGTGGATGGAGCAAAAAGACAAAGCAGGAGCTCACAGGTCAGTGGGTACAGAGTCATGTGCACCCAAGGTCCACAAGAACATGTGATGCAACACAGTTCCCAGGATTGCCAGGCTGAGCGTGCTGCTAACCACATAACCAGGCACAATCCCAGCAAGCAGAAAGCTTGGGGAGAGGGGGAAGGGGGCAAGAAAAATGGGAAATCCTCCGTGTCTCTTATAAAAAGGCCACACCCCCAACATGCATCATCAGACTGTAACTTCACTCATAGTTTTGACCCCACCCCTACTTCCACACTGGTACCATCAAGTTGACATAAAATCTAATCACCATGTTTATCTCAGCATTATTCCTCATAGTAGGAAGATGGACACAACTTAAATGTCTGCCCATCAACAGCTGAACGGACAGAGAAGCTGTGACATATGCAAACAATTTTATTATAATCTCCTATGGTGTCTTCCCAAACTGCTCTTTGAAATCTTCTCTTCAGTTCTTTTGGTTCATCATTTCTTCCATTTGCTTTAGCTTCTTCATGTTCAAAAGTAAATTTAAATATCTTCTGTCATTCACGTTGGTATTTCCTTTATTATATTTTTAGTGATCATTTGCTTTCTCTATATATGCTATTCTTAATGTCATACCAGACCTTGTAAGGTGTTAAGTCATTCATGCTTAATTCTCCAGCACAGTGGCTATGCAAGAGGATGGGGTCTGAAGTCAAAGTCGGTGGCAACCCGGAGAGCCTCTCTCAGGTAAATGAGCATCACAGCTTCCTAGTCATTCCTGAGAGTGGACCTCTCAAAGAGTAACTCAGCCACTCCCACCTGGTGGCTGGCCATCTGGTGGAGATTTGTCAGGCGGTCACCTGTCTTCTTAAAGAGTTTTACCTCCTGATGCAGGAAGTGGCTCTCCAGAAAGTCACAGAGGTAGGAATCCTTGTGTGTAGAACCCACAACATGCAGGTCCAGAAGAGCCTAGTTAAGGTTCTTCTCCAGAGAAGCTTCTATGTCTCCAGGGTTCTACCCCACTCGTGTTGGGACAGCTTGTGCACAAACTAGAATCCTGTGATGTTTTCAGACAGCAGCCTCAGAAACCCAGAGGGGCAGCTCCAGTCTGTTTCATGGAGGCACGAAGAGTCCGAACTGACTCAATGGCAGTGAGTTGGGGAGTAAGTCAGGGACACAGTTCTATCTGACACACACATGGGGTGGTCAAAAGCCATATTATACAAGGGGTGCACATTGTTAGAGCCTGGAGTTGAGGCCACTGGCTATCTGATGAACTCACAAGTGTGGGGACTGTGCTACTTGATATGAAAGGTTTTCACTAACACCACAAGGGTCTCTGACCCAATGAGTGGAGTATGATGCGCGTGCGCACACACACACACACACACACACACACGGCGGCAGGGGGAGCAGTGACTCCCAAAAACTGAATCCCTCAAAGCTATATATTTAAATTTTTCTAGAAAACAACCTTATCAACTTAAAACTACTCTCCATTACCCTTAATACATTTGTCAAATCTGCGATTCAATTCTTGAAAATATTTTCCAAACTCCCCTGTTTAGATGGCTAAGGGCACCTCCTTGTCCTTTCATGTCCCTCTGCATTCACGGAAACCAAAAGAAGTTGCACAGAATCAGGTCAGCTGACTCAGGTGCATGGGGCAAGAGAGGCATGCTGCTTTTTGCCAAAAAATGGTGCACTGAGATGGCTGCTTGAGCAATTGCATTGTCGTGGTGGCAAAACCAGATGGGGATCTGTCACATATCAGGTATGTGGAGCACTGCTATACAATATTTTCAGAACCTCTAAACAGAAAGCTTGATTAACAGTCTGACCTGGGGGAATGAACTACAAATACACTACAAGTCAACATTGTTGTCCCTTCACGAAGTTGATGAGCATCCAGAATGAGGTTTGTTATCAATTGACATTTCCTTTTTTGAAACAAGAAAACTACTTGTACACTTGAGTTTTTCCATAGCACTGCCCTTGTAAGCTGCATTCAACATAACAACCATTTCTATGGCATTTTTTCCAGGCCAGAAACAAAATCTCACACACTCACACTGTTCTCTTAAATCAACCATCACAAAAAAAATGAGGTTCAACTGAAATTGCTTTAACAAAAAACTTCCTGTGACCAGAAATAACCTTCCCGGGCAATACCACAGGGTGCACTATCTCAGAGCAAGTTGCTCGATGCTTGCCTAGCAGGACAAATGCATACAATGAAAGCTCTGCTCTGCCCAGCACAATTCCAGTTTGAAGGGGGGGGAATGCTAGCTGGGCATCCTAGTACACATGCAAAGAATGGGTGGGAGCTTCTCAAATGCACCACAAGGCAATTCCAGTTCCAACCAATCACAAGTCCAAGCTCAGTTAACAGGATGGTCTTAAATCACAAGGGATAGATCAAAGTGCTCTGTAGTTTTCTTAAAAGAGAAAATTAAGTGAACTATGAATTGATTGTTCACAAAGTGAACTGTTAAAAAACAATGAGAAACTTAATTGACTATGTAGATTCTAGAGCTTTGTAAGCAGTCATTAGATTAAATCTTCATTTCCTTGATGAATGTCAACAGAAGGTGAATGTTAGGGTGCTATTTGCTGCACCAGGCTGAAAGCTCTGATTAAGAAAGGGAAACCGAGGAGTCTGCTAAACAGAATTTTAAAGTATCTAGGCACTGCTCTTAAGAGATTTCGCGATTGGAATTTACATCTCAACTCAGTAGACCTTAAAGTATGGAAATTATCTGAGTCTAAACTACTGATATTTGGCTTCCAAAACATAGAACTTTCTCTGGCTACTGGAGAAGAAGGTAAAAGGAGACATCAGAGAGAGATTTGAACCGTGATACCGGATACGTTTGATGCTTTGAAGATGGAGAGAGGCACGTGAGAAGTAGGATCTGAAGAGCTGGAAAGAATTTCCAGACAGTATCCAGCAAAAGGATAGAACTCCAGACCTGCAATCACAAAGAATTGGATTATGCCAACAACCTGAGAGGGGTGGGGAGTGAATTCTTCCTGGACTCTTAAGAGGCTAGGCTGGCCAAGACTTTGACTCAATTCCTTTGAGACCAGAAGCTGAGAACCAAGTGCACCTGGACTTCTTACTTAACAACTGAGAAATAGCAAGTCCATCATGTTTTAAGCCATAAACATATAATGGTAACTTGTTACAAAGGAACAGTTGTTATACAACGAATACAAGAAGCTACTACTGTGCATCATCAGAAAGGTACCGGATGGAGTGTCTATTTCAGGCTTTAGCAAAGAATCCCGAATGAACAGTTGACCCTTGTCAACATCTTAAAGAGAGTGAGTTTGTCTTCTGTGGCCCAAGTTTTCCAATTCTAGGCGCCACCATGCCGTTCTAGTTCCTTCTCTTAATTATAACTTTTAGGCATGTCAAGGTAAACCTAACTTAGTGGAATCTTCATAGGAAATGTGTGTTTTAGCTGGAATCAAAGTTAAATGAAAAGCATAGAGCTTGCCCACATGGCAGAAGCACACCAGCCTCTGTGATCATGAGTGTCAAGGGCACCAGGTATCAGGCATCAAGGATCCAAAACAGAAAATCATATTGATGTGAATGAGGGGAAGGGCAGAGAGGAGACCCAAAACCAATCTGTAGATATCTGGGCGTCCCCTTACAGAAGGGTCACAAGCAAGAGATGAGCCAGTCAGAGTGCAGTATAGCACCAATGAAACATACAACTTTCTTATAGTTCTTTAATGCTTCCTACCACCACCACCCACTATTATGATCCCAATTCTACTTTACAAATCCAGCTAGATCAGAGCATGTACACTAGTACAGATTAGAGTTTGCAACCCAGGGATCCAGGAGAGATAAACCCCTCCAGACCAATAAGGAGAGTAGTGATACCAGGAGGGGAAGGGGAAGGTGGGGGAATCAATATTTAACTCCCTCTCAGGGGGACACACACAACAGAAAAGAGGATGAAGGGAGACATAGATCAGTGTAAGGCATGAAAAATTAATAATTTATAAATTACCAAGGGTTCATGGGAGAGGGGGGAGGAGGGAAATGAGCTGATACCAAAGGCTCAAGTAGAAACAAAATGTTTTGAAAATGGTGTTGTCAACATAGCTACAAAGGTGCTTGACACAGTGGATGTATGTATAGATTGTGATAAGACCTGTAAGAGCCCTTTAATCATTTCATAAAATGATTTTTAAAAATATTTTGTAGTTTATGAGTAAATCAGCCACAAGTCTCTTCTAGGGACCTTGGAAAGCAGAAAACATTTGCAAGTCCTGAATATGTGGAGAGAAAATGTTTTGAGAAACGATGTACAAATGCGCTTTACACAATTGATGTGTGTATGGATTGGGATAACAGTTGTATGAGCCCCTAATAAAATGTTTAAAAAAAGAAAAAATACACATCTTTATGAAAATTTCAGATTAAGAAGAAATCAGCCCAAGGTGTCAGCTGATAAGAGAATAACTACGAGGAGTCTAGGCTTGCCCCAACCCATTATCACTCAACATTTAGATGTCAACTTTGTTGAATGTTAACTTTTAATCATTTTAACTAAAATGTGCAAAGAACACTAAAATAGGGAGGTGATATGCAGGGGAAAAATAGTCTCTAAATTAGATTCTTCTCACTCAATAGACTCACCCTATTTCACCCTATTAAATTCATCTTGTTAACTTCACAAGGAACAAAGACCCCCAACTATCAAAAGTACTTCTGTCTTGACAACAGGAAAATCTCAAGTTTCTGAGAAAGGTAAGTCTACAGGGAAGATTGATTTCCCCTACCGCTAGCAAACTCCGTAGCACTAACTTAGTGAAGATTCCCCGGAAAATGCACTTTCTGGAACCTTCGATCATCCATTGAATTCTGTTCATCACTATTCTCAATGAGGGAAAAGATCAGCTATCTTCCTTGAAATATAGTGTCCGGATATTTGCACACTCTCGGGGGGAAAAAAGGTTGCAAAGCACCTGCTCGTTCATTCATTTACTCTTTCATCTGGTACACACATACTGAGCACCACTGCGTGCTCACTCTCCGACCTTGTGAGCTATTTCCTAGGTGAGAAAACAGGGTAATTTAGAATCAGATTTCATCCTTTCCAAATCTGATAGGGGAGGCTTGTGACAGACATCAATTCTGTCAGAGAAACTTTGTTCATGTCCTAGAGCCATGCCTGGTCTGGATGAGCTTGCACAAGGGACTCTGCAAGGCTCCGCGGCTTCATTTATTAAATCGGTACAGTAACAGTGAATGCAACAATGGGCTTACACAGGTCAACATCTGTGAAGAAGGCTCGGCACCACATAACACTTTATGCATGAGATCTTAATGAGCCAAAATACAAATCAAAGGATCTAACAAAGAATAGTAACCAGCACAATAAGTTCCTGTAAAGATAAATGAGAGATCCCTGTATAACGCATTCAGCATAGTACCAGGTGCATACTGAAGGCTCAAGCAAATATTCACTACTGTTAGCAGAATACCGTAGTAGCAAGAAATATCTACTCGGGGCTAATGGAGAGATCTAGGAATGCAGTCCCTTTGCTTCTCACAGCCTATAAATCAAGACCAACTCATAGTGATGCAATCAGACTGAACAGACTAGCCCCATAGACTTCCTAAAGCTGTAGATCTCTACTGCAGCAGAGAATTACAGCTTTCTTCTGCTGAGTGGCTAGTGGGTTAAACCTCCATCCTTTGTGTTAGCAGCACCACTAGGGCTCCTCAACCTGGGACGAAGAGACATTAAAGTGGACTTAGATCCTGTGGCCCTCCAAGAGAAAGATGCGAGAGAAGTCTTGTTAGTCCCTTATCGGAAGACATGGTCAGAGAAGGACAGGAGACGTTGCAGAGGTTGAAGAGCTGCTGGAGGAGGAGGCTGGAGGTCGGGCTGGAGCTGAGTGTTCCCTGGATTCCTGTGCCCTGAGTTCCGGTTAGGATTTGAGCTTATTGTCATAAACGGAACCCTCCGGTACTGGAGTGGGTCATTGGCTGTGCCTTTTTGGCAGCTTTATAAGTTTTCAGCTATGTTTACCAAATGCATTAACAGCATTAAGCTGAGGAAAATGTATTTCTGGTTATCTGATTTCAAAATTATCTTAACAGGCTACAGTAATGGCTGAATCTTAGAAGAAGTCATTTTTACAAGGAAAAATGTATAACCCTACACTTGAAGCTAAACAACTCACTTCACAACCCTAGGCTGTGGTAAGCAAATAGCTTAATAGTCGTTAATAAAAACATCTCCCAGGTTTTAGACCACAAAGACCTCATTGTGGGATATAACTGCAAGAAGAGTTCATGTCACCTTCAAGAGCATCAACAGAAATTGGAATTCAAAAAATAATATTTTAA